CTTTATGTATAGTATATCTCAATAAAATTCTCTTATGGAATACTTTTTACAACCCATGCTTAAATAAATCATCTAAAAATTGCCTATTTATGTTATAATAGGTTGCATTATTTTTAGGGGACCTGATCAACAGTATTCACCAATAAGTTTTAAATCAATTTTGCACTCCTTTTTGGTGTTTCCTATATCTAAATATTTGCAAATACAGAGGACTATCTTGACTTTCTGAATAGCTGAGATGTCCAGAGCCTGACCTTTCTGTAACCAGAAGTCTATGATAAATTATCCCCGGGCTCTTTACCTTCTTCCTATTGGAACACTATATTGATCTCCATATTTTCAGGTTAAAAGATTGATATAACTCTAACAATCAGAAGCTATTTAAATATTTTCACAAATGCATTTCTGTCTCTTCCTCAATTTTTTTCACTTTGTTTATGCCACTTACCAAGCAATTTGAATTGTTTTTTTTTTTTTTATAACATTGTCTCTATAAAGATATAAAGAAATTCCATATTTCTTTATATCATACTGACAGTGATCTGGAAGGATTATTGTCTCATTTTATGGTCCTTTCATCTTGTTATTTGGGTTAGCAAGGAAGAAAACAATATGTAAGTAGATGCAGAAAACTGCTGAGTATTGTCAAAAGTTCACTTTTTAAAGAAAATGTTTGTCATGGAAAGGATTGAAGACAAGAGAGCCAGAAGTTACATGGCCCAAAGAGGGTTTAATGTTCTGTATGTTTTACAAAGTAATTTTCATACAATTAAAAAGAAAGCCATTAAAGATGTGGAATTTTAAGGAAATATTGTTTTCATGACATGAAATGTCACTTGCAACAAAAAGTTGTAGATGAAAAGGGAAGAAAACAAAAGAAGATTTAATTAAAAATAATCAAAAGAACACGAAAAAAGAAAAAAGCACTTGAAGCTTCTGAGTGTTCTCCTGTGCCACCCACATTTTCAGTATTAGTAATTGAATATGGAGAGACATCTTTCCACCTTGACTTTCACTTTTACAAGGGTAGCAAACTATGAGAAAACAGAACACATTGTATATGACTTTTGCACTTTCCAGCAGGTTCAACAATGCACCATAACTGTATTTACAGCTTGATTCTGGCCAAAAAAAGAGAAGGCAAGGGATCATAGAAGAATAAAACATAAAAAATATGCTATATTTATCCTGTGCCTACTTTTTGCCAAGTCTGTGTAACAAACCTACACTGTTTGATTTAAACCTCAGAGGAGTGCTCTGAAGTAGTATTATTTCAATCCCCATTTTACCTAAGAGTAAATTGTTCCTCAGAAAGGCTAAGTCACTTGCCTAAGACAGTGCAGCCAATGAATAGGAAACTTGAGTTCAAAAGTCAGCTATTTCTGCCTCTGAATTGTCTGCCCCCTTTGCCACATCACATCTGCAATGCTTTTGAATGAGGAGTTGAATCCAGAAAAAGAAATGAAATGCATCCATGAGAAATGAGATGTTTGCTTTTTCTAGGATATGCATTCTACAAGAAGAATAAGACCAAGCACCTGAAAGTCCATGAATTTACAAGCTAAATTTTGTACAAATCATTGAGCTTCACTTTAATTTCAATTAGACCACGGGAGGGAAAATGTCACCCAAAGTGCTTGAAATGGCTTTAAAGTTAAAACAAATATGCATTAAGAGAAGAAGGCACAAACTCCAGGAAAGCTTAACATGAAACATATGTTTTCATAGACATTTTGAACCTGTAGTCACTGTATAATTTATACTGCCAGATTCCAGGGTGAATTCATTCAGTCTCATCTGCTGGAAGGATGCTAGGGTGTAACATTCTGAGAAGCACTCCGAGAGACTGTGGTGGATATAAAAAATAGAAATTTACCTACAATACCAGGAACTTTCTTTTTCTCTGTCACCTCACTGCTTTTGAGGTGTCCCAACTAGTTGTGCCTAGAGGCCTCTGACTGGCCTAAAATCCTTGACTCCCTTTCCATTTTGTTTGGTTGCAGTTTCAAATGGAGAATTATAAAATGCTCAAAGCAAGATCATGTTTGCCTTGTTGACCTTTGTCTAGATTCCTTGGCCAAAATCATAAGCTGTGTAGCCCAGTGTTCAGCAAACCATGGCTCGCAAGCCACATGCGGCTCTCTGGACCCTTGAGTATGCTCTTCCACAAAATACCATGGCCTGGGCGAGTCTATTTTGAAGAAGTGGTGTTAGAAGAAGTTTACGTTTAAAAAAAATTTGGTTCTCAAAAGAAATTTCAATCGTCGTACTGTTGATATTTGGCTCTGTTGACTAATGAGTTTGCTGACCACTGGTATACCCTCATGTCTTGGATGCTAGAGGATCATGCTTTATTTTGTACCCCAAGATTTATCTCCTTCCTTATTTCTGCTTTTCTTCTTGAATGACCATTTTCTGGTTTGTCAGGCTCTATCTATCTATCTATCTATCTATCTATCTATCTATCTATCTATCTATCTATCATCTATCTATCTATCATCTATCTATCATCTATCTATCATCTATCTATCTATCTATCTATCTATCTATCTATCTATCTATCATCTATCTACCTGCCCATCCATCCATCCATCCATCCATCCATCCATCCATCCATCCATCAATCCATATATTTTTCATAAGAATAAGTATCTCTGTCAGCTACCTAAACTTTATTTTCTTCAAAACTTTACACATTTCAGTGTGCAATACTCTTTTTGTTGATAAGTTTATAAGCCCCACAGTGCTCAAATGCATCTGTAAAGTTTTGCTCCTAAAACTAAAACAAAGAAGCAAACAAAACAAAACAACATTTTCAAGGAATTGTAGAACTTCAAACAAATTGAAAATAAAACCTTAATATTACTTCCCAAATGCCAAGTTATTCCAGGGTATATATGAGGTTCTTGACAGAATTATTATAAAGCATATGTTCATTTTCATTACTTATTAGTAAAAAACTTTCATTAAAGTTTCATGAAAATGGCACTATTGTTTTAAGATTTACTTATACATTATATGTGATTAAGGTGCTTTAAGAAAAGTCAAGAATGTTAGTATTTTCTTTTTTTCTGTGGAGTTTTAAGCAGAACTATTTGAGTAGATTTTCAAAAGATACTTTTAGTATTCTTTGTCAAAGCACATATGTAGCTCAATTCTGAAAGATGGACATAGAGGGGCTGGTGGACTTTTGCAGGGGTCAGTATTCTCATTAAGCAAAACATGGAAGCATTGGCCCAAGTTGTTATTGATGTGGCTACCTGACTATAGGGACAACCTGAATCCTATGTCTTCAGTCTTAGGAGTTTTGGCCTGGAAAACAGGATTCTTCTTGATTTTCTTGAGCTATGTGAAATTCAATGTCTGTGTGTGATTGAAGGAGTGGATAAGAAGAGCCCAATCACCCAAAGACTAATGTTAGACCCATCACCTGCCATTTGTGGAATGTACTTCCTGATCCCCCAGACTATGGGAGTTCCCATCGTTATGTGCTCCTGGGTCCCTTTTACTGCTTCTGTGTGGTACTACCTTTTAGGATTATTTGTTTTCCATGCTGGACTCAAAGTCCACAAGGGTTGGGGTCATGTCAGTCCGATTTACTAACATGTGCTCCAGCATGTAGCTTGGGTTTATTGGTGCTCAATAAATATCTGTCATCAATAAATTAGGGATTTCTAGATAACTTGGGTGAATGATTTCATGTAAAGGGATTATGGGCTTTAAACCAGAAAAAGAAAATATTTGGAGGCATGGCAGAAGAAATAAAATATTAGAAAGATAATCAAATCGAAGGACAAAAGGCAAAGGAAGCAGCAAGATAAAATAGAAAGAACAAAGACCCTAGGAGTTAGACAGATCTAGGCCAAAATTTTGGCTTTACCACCTTCTGGTTTTATGACAAAGGGTCACATGTTTAACCTCTTTGTCTCATCTGTGAGATGAGTAGATTAATGCTAACCTCATAAAAATGTCACAAAGATTATAAGATCTAATCATTTAGTGGAGTGTTTGTCATGAGTAGTTACTCCAAAAATGTTAGATGTTATTAGAATCTATAATTTTTCCTCAGTATAATTCCCAAGTAAAACAACTGGAAAAATAGATTTAAAAAAAGTTTCACTGGCCTATCTCAACTCAATTTAAATATTTTTTAAAAATTTGAGCTAATATGAGAATGGGTCATTCTGAGGTAGCACATAAAATGTATATACAGAGAAAACTTGTTTTATGGGTGAAGGTTGGTAAACCCTCTAGAATTAAGTATTATATTTCCAAGTAAATAGTTAAATGTTATGCATCTATACAGGACATTGTATATGGTCTTTATTTCTTTGCACATTTCTTCCAACCCCCCTCCCCTAAAGCCCACCTGCCTGTATCTTTAAAATATTTTCTCTTCTTCATAGAATCACTATTGAAAAAGTGGAGTTAATTAGATCATTTAAGCTACAGAACTCCAAGGCCTGGTGCACAGATTTGTGTACCACTGAGGTTCCTAGGTCTGGCCTGTGCTCTCTTGCAATCTGGGACCCCTTGGGGGATGTCAGAGAGCCAGTTTTGGTTTGGTCCCTGCAAACTAAACCAAAGGACCCCACTGGCACCAGGCCTTTAGTATGCATATAAGATCTTTGGTTAATCTCTTCCCACCCTCCCCCTGCACCCCTTCCCTCTGAGATTCATCAGTCTGTTTCACATTTCCATGCCAGTGGTTTTTGCTTCTGTGTTGAGCATCTTCCCCTGGTGGTCAGTGCACATCATAGCTACAGCTAGTCTGCAGGCCTCTTAAGCTTTTATATATCAAATTTTAAAGTAAATTTAGTATAATGATGTTATATTGCTTTTTGTTTTTTACGTGGAGGTTCTCTTTTCTCACCATTGACAGATTAAGAATTATATATATTGAATGTTTTAAAACATAGCTTACACGTTTAAGAGACATAATCATTGAAATGGATCACTGGAAGCATGTTTTGCTTAATTGGGCATATTTTGTATTTCAGTTTGGGAAGCAGCACATAGAAAACCTCTTCAGTGACCTGCAGGATGGGAGTCGCCTCCTGGACCTTCTAGAAGGCCTCACAAATCAAAAACTGGTATGTAACTTATTTATAAGAAAGTTCACATTAGCCTTAGGAGAATTTCATATCACAAACAAACTCCGCATAATTTTATGAGATTTAGGAAAATTCACTAATCTACCAATTACTGAATTAACTGGCAATACAGGAACTATTCTGAATAAAACAATCTCATAATATTATTTTCATGTTGGCATAGTCTATCACATGGAGAAAAAGAAAGTGAAATTTTTCAGTAACATAATTTATGTCAATTAATAGATATTCACTTTCAATGTTTGGTATCTTTGTTAGTGAATGTATGTTATTATTGATTTTTATATAGAGAGGAAGGAAGCAATATAGAGAGACAGAAACATTGATGAGAGGAAAAAACATCATCAATTGGCTGCCTCCTGCACATCCCTTACTGGGGATTTAGCCCACAACCCAGGCATGTGACCTGATGGGGAATCGAACTGGTGACCTCTTGGTTCATGTGTTGACACTCAACCACTGAGCACACTGGCCAGACTTGAATGCATTTTTATAAAGGCTTTTAAACATAATCACCTTTTAAATTTAATTTATTTTTTATTGTGATAACATTTAACATGAGATATAGAAAACGGGCAGTTGCTGTTTAACAGATATAAAGTTTCAGTCATGCAAGATGAGTAAGTTCTAGAGGACTGCTGTAGAACATTGTGCCTATAGTAAAAAATACTTTATTGTGCACTTAAATGTTTATTAAGTGGGTAGAGCTCATTTTAGGAGTAAATATTGCATGTATCATAACAGTGAAATTTCAAGAGCTCCACAACTGAATAAACAAATTCATCCATATATTGTGATGAACTATGCAAATGTTAGTTTAAAACTTACCAGGTAAGATATGACTTCTGGGATTGAGAGTGAGCATTAGAAAATTAAAGGTGATAGAGGTTTGAGCTTTAGTGACTAACATAATTAAAATTATAGTCACAGAAATAGTTTTCTTTAACTTTATGTCACATTATATAATTTTGCTAGGCATACACCTCTTTTAAAGTTTCTTACAAAGTGTAGAAATTAACTCACTTATCTATATTTATTAGCAAATGTTCTTATGCATGCTGATGTTTCTATTGGTGGTCATACAGCAACCCCCAAATGGGCTATAGAATGATGGAGAGATTGTAAGTAATATATATCTTTTCTGAAAAGGAAAAAATGCTATCATTTTTCTTGAGGGATGATCAGTCCATGCTAAGAAAATCCTATGACAAGTACAATTAGCCCAAAGCACTGAGATTCATTATATTAATCCATCGCAGCCTGTATTCATTCAAAATATATAATAGTCAGTTAGTCATGAAATGAATAAATTTTGTTCAATTTCTAGTAGATTGTGATTTCTTTTCTGGGCAGTAACATGGTTTCATTTTGTTTTCAGCCAAAAGAAAAAGGATCCACAAGAGTTCATGCCCTGAACAATGTCAACAAAGCGCTGCAGTTTTTGCAGAAAAATAATGTAAGTGGAGATCTGAATAGAGTCTGGACACCATGAGACAGCAGGCTGAAAATTAGACTGAGGGCTTTGCCCCCAAATTCAGAGAAAGCATTTAAAGTTAACTTATAAATCAAAGCAGTTATTAGTAAGATCACGTGTTGTAGTTCACGTGCTTCTTCTTGTGGCTAATGTAATTCAGGAAGTGAATGCATCAGCCACAGAGGGCAGGGGAAGGCAACTAAATGTTATTTTCTAATTTTAAAGAATGCAGTTATGTTTGGTGGACAAAGTAAGTCCTGTGGTGAACTTAGTTCCTCTTAGTAGTGTTCTGTGCAACAAATGGCTTTTACTAAACTGAATATTATTTTTAGAAGTATAAAGTGTGTTCAAACATGATGATGATAAAGTTTGTTTGAATTCAACCAATATTATTAACACTACAACCAAGTATGAACATTACACAGAAAAGTCACTATTTCAACTCATGGTAAGAACTGCAACTTTTTAAAAAAAATTTCTGTTTGATCTAGTTTAGATATATTTGTGTTACTATAAGAAGTCAACAAATAAGTGTGGAAATTTAGGAGTTTCTACAGAGTGAATTTGAGATTCTTCCCTTCTATCATGGCATTGTAAACAGTCTCCTTTTTGGTATGTTCGTTTGTTTTTTTTTGTTAATCCTCACCTGAGGATATTTTCCCAATGATTTTTAGAGAGAGTGGAAGGAAGAGGGAGAGACTGAGAGACACATTGAGGTGAGAGAGACAAATTAATTGGTTGCCTCCTGCACGTACCCTGACCAGGGCCAAGGAACCTGCAACCAACATATGTGCTCTTGACCAGACTTGAACCAAACTGGCTAGGACAGAAGCAGTCTCCTTTCTTACTAACTTTCTATAATTTTTCTAACGAACCATTTATAAGGCAGTTTGAGTAACTTCCTAATTACATTATAGCTCTCTTTCAAGAATAAATCCAAATAAATTGATCACATATTCTTAAAATAACCATAATCAGTGATAGATTTTTAATGATGTACACATACCCAAATGTTGTTCAGTTTATATGGCACAGAGAGAACAACATATGGGAAATGGAAGTGACGGCTGTGCAGCATTTAGTTGATTTTCTGAATTTAGAATTGTCATATTTAGCCTATGAAAATTATAGAAATATTAAGTATTTTAATTATTTTACAAAGTGATTAACTATATATTTTTAAATTTTCTGCAGACAGAATAGAATAGTTTATAGAATGTTTGGCTCATTACTAGTGCAACAGAACCATTTGAAAAGCCAATTTCATGTAAATTAATAAACGTGTTTAAAGATATTGGGAATTTATACACAAAGATCTTTTTAGATCAATTCCCCATATTTATTTACAAAATATATAATCAAAGGAAACAGCAGAAAAATCAAATAATTACAGTATTAGATTAACTCTACTTGATAGTGATTTCACTAAAAAAAGTCACATTAAAAAATAGGCTGTTAGATCTCCTAAAAATAGGGAATTAATATAGACATAAATTGTTTAATAAGCATCTTGTTTTTTCACATAGTGATTATTGATTATGAGTTTGGAGATTATCTATATATATTATAATTATTAATTTCACAGTTTTCAATATAAGAACAAAAGAAATCCTGGCAACAAAACAGAGAAACCACAAAAGAAAATCTCTGTGACTTTGGGATACCAAATATTTATTTCTTAGATGTAAAACCAATGCTATAATTCAAAAAGAGGAAAGTTAACTTGAACTTCATCAAAATTATAAGTTATTTCTGTATACAGGAGATGAGTAACTTGTTTTGTGTATTGTTATCTCTGTGGATTATATTTTTACTTACTCAGATGTGTCTTTTGATAAAGAGAAGTTCTTCATTTTGATGTAGTTCATTTAAAAAATTATATTAAATTTATTGGGTGTCATCGGTTAATAGGATTATATAGGTTTCAAGTGTACATATCTATGATACATGATCTATAATATGTATTGCATTGAATGCTACCACCCAAAGTCAAATAATCTTCTGTCACCAAATATTTAACCTTTATCACCCAACAATTCCTTTCTCTCTGGTAGCCGCCATATTGTTGTTTGTGCCTATGAATTTTAGTTCTTGTTTGTTCAACTGTTACTTTCAGTTTTATATTATACTCATGAGTGATATAATATGGTTCCTAACCTTTTCCTGATTTTTTTGGTTTAACATGACATTTGTCGTATCCTGTTTAAGAAACATTTATCTGCCCCAAATCATTATGATATTATATTTTACTAGAGGCCTGGTGCATGAAAATTCACCTGGGGGGTCTCTCAGCCATACCTGTCCCCTCTCACAGCCCAGGAGCCCTCTGGGGCAGAAAGCTACCCAGCGATCAGGGAAAGTGATGCCCCATCATATCTCTGCTGCTTCCACTGCAGCAGTGCAAGCCTTGGCCAGCCTTGATTACCTGAGCGTCTGGCAGCCCTGGCAGTTGGGCAACCGCCATCCAAGGCTTGCCTGCACCTCAGGCCAGCTCTTGACAGCTGAGGGGCTGAGTGGACTAGAAAACTCTGGAGGTATGCACCCCAGCAGGGCTTAGGGGACTGGGTACCGCCATCTTGTGGCTATGGGCTCTGAGAGTCAATTAGCACATTCCCTCTTTATTTGATAGGATTGTTATCTATATAAGCTTTATTGTTTCACCATATAAATTTGGATCTGTATTTCACCTGGAATTGATTATTGAATTTGGTGTGAATAATGGGTTAGGATTCTTGTTCTGTTTTTTGATTTGGAATCTAATTTACATAACACTATTATTATTTTTTAATAATTCTTTATTGTTGAAAGTATTATATATGTCCTCTTTTTACCCCATTGACCCCATTCAGCCTCACCTCTCCCCCCACAGGCCTACATTATCTTATTGTCTGTGTCCATGGGTTTTACACATATGCATACAAGGTCTTTAGTTAATTACCTCATGCCCACCCAACCACCCTCTCCCACCTTCCCTCTGAGATTTCGCACTCTGTTCCCTGCTTCCATGTCCCTGGATTCACTAAGTTCATCAGTTATTTTGTTACTGAGATTCCACATTTGAATGAGATCATGTGATACTTGTCTTTCTATGGCTGACTTATTTCATTTAGCATGATATTTTCCAGGTCCCTCCATGCTGTCTCAAAAGGTAAAAGATTATACTTTTTTTTTTTTTTTACTGTTGCATAGTATTCCATGTTATAAATGTACCACAGCTATTTTATCCACTCATCTACTGATGGACACTTGGGCTGTTTTCAGAGCTTAGCTATTGTAAATTGTGCTCCTATGAACATAGGGTTTCTGAGGTTACATTTCTAGAAGTGGGATAACTGGGTCACAGGGCAGTTCCATATTTAATTTTTTGAGGAAACACCATACTGTTTTCCATAATGGCTGCACCAGTCTGCATTTCCACCAGCAGTATACTAGGGTTCCCTTTTCTCCACATCCTGGCCAGCACTTGCCATTTGTTGATTTGTTGATTTGTTGATAACAGCCATTTTGATAGGCGTGAGATGATATCTCATTGTCATTTTGATTTGCATCTCTCCAATGATCATTAATTTGAGCATTTTACCATATGTCTCTTGGCCATCTTTATATCTGCTCTGGAGAAGTGTCAATTTAGGTCCTTTGCCCATTTTTAAATTAGACTGCCTTCTTTTTGTTACTTGTATGAGTTCCTTATATATTTTGGATATTAACCTTTTTTCAGATAAAACTTTGACAAATATGTTCTCCCATATAATGAGAACTCTTTTCATTTTATTAATAGTTTCTTTTGCTGTGCAGAAGATTTTTATTTTGATATAGTCCCACTTGTTTATTTTATCCTTAGATTCATTTGCCTTAAGAGATATATCAGTAAACATATTGCTATGAAAGATGTCTGAGATTTTGCTGCCTATGGTTTCTTCTAGGATTTTTATAGTTTCATGACTTACATTTAAGTCTTTTATCCTTTTTGAGTTTATTCTTTTGTATGGTGTAAGTTGATAGTGTATTTTCATTTTTTTGCATCTATCTGTCCAATTTTCCCAACACCATTCATTAAAGAGACTATTTTGATTCCATTGTATGTTCTTGCCTCCTTTGTTAAATATTAATTGAGCATAATGGCCTGGGTCAATTTCTGGGGTCTCTGTTTGTTCCATTGATCTATATACCTGTTCTTTTGCCAGTACCATGCTGTTTTGATTAAAATGTCTTTGTAGTATAACTTGAAATCTGGTATTGTGATTTTTCCAACTTTGTTTTTCTTTCTCAAATTTGCTGCAGCTATTCAGGATCTTTTTAAAATTCCCTATAAATTTTTGGAGTGTTTGTTCTAGGTTTGTGAAATATAACATTGGTAGTTTACTAGGGATTGTATTGAATCTGCAGATTGCCTTAGGTAGTATGGGCATTTTAATGATGTTGATTCTACCAATCCATTAACACCGTATATTCTTCCACTTGCTTATATATTTTTCTATCTCTTTTATCATGTTCTGTAGTTTTCTGAGTATAGATCTTTTGCCTCCTTGGTTAAGTTTATTCCTAAATATCTTAATTTTTGTAATGGTAAATGGGATTGTTTGTTTAGTTTCTCTTTCTGAGAATTTATTCTTGGCTTATAAAAAGCCATAAATTTTTGGATGTTGATTTTGTATCTTGCTATATTGCCAAATTATTTTTTAAAATCTAGTATATTTTTGGTGGAGTCTTCAGGGTTTTTTATGCATAATATCATGTCATATGCAAAGAATGACAATTTTACTTATTCTTTTCCATTTTGGATGCCTTTTAGTTCTTCTTGTGTGATCCCTGTGGCTAGGACTTCCAGTACAATGCTGAATAAGAGTGGTGAAATTAGACTTCCCTGTCTTATTCCCATTCTTAGGGAAAATGGTATTAGTTTTGCCCTTTGAGTATGATGTTGGCTGTTGGTTTATTGTATATGGCCTTTATCGTGTTGAGATATGCTCTCTCTATTCCCA